GAAGGTGTTGGGAGGATGTACTTACAGACAGATCTGGGTTTTTTGGTACAAGGTACTCTGCTATGTAGTTCCCCAGAACTTGGGAAGTCCCTGCAGCACAGGATTGTTATGATGGGAAGAGAATATGCATTAGCTGGGTATGGGATGGGTGTAATTACTAATACACAAGGACAGTGCTGTGAATGCTCGTTACTCTGCCTTTAACAGGTTGACATGAACCACCTCATAGTAGTTAGTGCCTGAGCTTCCAAAACTATTGTTTTCTTGTGTCCTCAGAATCCTCATGTTTCAATAAGTATCTTGAATTACCAACTTAAAAAACTAGTATTTGAAATGTGTGTGAAGTCAATACTGCTTTGCTAATTGCACATAGTATTGACAAGGACAGTTCAACTCAAGTTAATGCATCAATGTTTTGGAGGGAGCAAAAAGCAAAGCTACAGCAGACCTCATCAAGCCAGGACTTTCTGTTTTGCTGTCAACATCAACTACACCTTGTCTGTCCACTCTAACAGAGTGCTTGGTTTGTACCAGTGTTTTCCATAAGAAATGACTCATGCCCCAAAACACAGATTGCCTTTCCCCCAGCCTTTGTGACCTTGTCTAAAGTAAGTACCGCTCCAGCCACAGAAATGAGGAGATAAGAGGGGCTCTGTCAAGAACACTCGCTGTTGCTGCTACTGTTACTCTCACCCAAGCAGACAGGCTGCAGATTTATCAGAAGTGAAGGCAGCTGCTAAAAGTCCACAAAGAATGAAGTATCCTTGACAATTGTTAGGACAGTTTACCCTTTACAAGTGTATTTCCTTTGTAGTTTACATTGTGCTTAATATCCAAGGCTAGGTGAGGTAACCTGTTGGGAAAGAAATACTATTAACATAATCACCATTTTAATTAAGTGATGCTGTGAAGGCACAGTGCTGTCATTTACAGACAAATGAAAGATGATATCCTTCTAGCATAAAAGAATCAACATCTTATGTGTGGGTGCCACAACCCACACAGCCACAATATTTTGAAGGACTAAAGTCTAAACAGGTCATGCTTTTTTCAGGGAAGAAGATGACATGGGTTCCAAGAACCCAGTAATGCCGTTAGCACAAGGCATTGCATCAACATTCTGGCTTTCTCAATATGATTCCTTCTCCAGGCTTCATTGCTGTAGTGGGTTGAGGTGGGTGGGTTACAGTTTAAAGGCTTTATGGAAAAAATGTGTTAGAAACAAGGTTTAAGCTGACACAGCTGCATGAGACTGGAGAAGTACTCAGAAGGAATTAACTCATAAATGACTGGATTTTCTAAATACCTAGGAAATGACTGTAACACATCTGTGTGTTCTTTCTTGTGGGTTAATGTATTCAATTAATGGTAGAGTTTTGACTTTGGAAAAACATTCTGTTCACAAACTGATTGCTTTCCCTAACTATTACTGTAAAGTAAAAAGTATAAATTATAACACTGTTTAGTCTAGTTTCTTTCATTTCCAAAATGCATTTGAGAAAAAGTCAAGAATTACACTTTTCAATTTTAAGCCTCACAACAGGATTTATTGGTGCCATCTACTGGCTATTTAGTCCTCTTAAATTTCAACAAATTATGAATAATGTGTTTTAAATGCAGAATAATAAGAACTTTATGAGCCTTACAACTGAATCAGCCAATATCAAACTATGTAATTGGAAAATCTGTAATATTTAAATTACATTAAGTCAAACTTTGGCACAATGTTCCAACAGTGTAACTCAGTTACAAAGCTTTTAGATGTGCCAAGAGGAGAAAGCTCGAGGCAGTGTACAACTGCTTGTATACAGACTCCAAACACTAAAGCCACAGATATACTCCTCGTGTCTCAGAGGAAGGCTTCCTCCCTACAACTGCCAACCATTTCAGATCCCTCCTTCCTAGTGTATGAGTATGTGGGGCACTAGCACGTTCAGGCAGCAGGTAAACATGGTCATATTGCTGTTTGCCTTTGCTGGAGGGATGTCCCCACAAAAATTTGAAGGAAAAAATGGTGCTTCAGCTCATAGCCCAGGCAAGCTGTGAATGTTTCTGCTGAGGATGGGTTTAAGCTAGTTGGAGGGAGCATGGGCATGGAGGGGATGGCACACAGCCTGTTCCACCACACCCATTGCAAGGGTAGTATGAGCAAGCAGAGCTTGGAAGGGACCTGCTGTCCAGCACTGCTGAATCCCCTTCTGCTATATTTGTTCAAAAACATCTGAAGATGACCTAGGCTTTAAATCACTTAAACTCGTTGTAATAAAAATTGCTAAATATTGAAGCAGTGCCAGGGAAAGATCAGTACATTAATATTACATTAACTGAGATGTTTACAATATCTCCAGTGACAGGTGAGAAAAGTACTTACACATCCAAGTAGTTGCATCCCTAATGAGCAATATATTTGAGCACATGCTTAAAATACTTAATCATACTTAAAAGTGCTTTGCTAGATACCAGTGAGAGTGCTCACATTCCCCACTCTCATTAGTCAAGACTTTAACAGAGCCAGAAACAAATGTATTTAGATTATGACTCTGAGAACCAACCTCTGGAATAACTTGCCTAGCAACTAGGTTGTAAGCAAAGAAGGTATATTAGTAGTGTGCTTCCTTTTCTCTGTCTTTTCCCATCATCTAACAAAAACATGAAAGTCTTTAGGAAGGAAAAGAATGTTACTTAGCCATATCTGTTTTTCAGAGATTTACGTAAGAAAGTGCTTTCTGATGGAACAAACTAAGCCTTCACCTTATATAATGACATATTTATATGGTACTAGTAGAGCTCACAGCTAAGGCTGCAAAACTCCGCACAAGACCCTATTTTCAGGTGCTTGTTACTTTGACAGACTATCTTTGACAAATTTCTGTCGTTTGGCTGAAATTTGCACACCTTGGATTTTTGTCTGGTTGTTTCACAAAAATTTCATATTAAGTTTTCTTTAAAATCATGCAAGACATACAGGTTTTCCCATATTAAAATTATAACAGAAGCTTGTCTGAGAATCTTCCAACGCTACATACTGGGAAGTAGAGACTTTTCCTTTGGTATAGATACCCTTGGTATAGATCCCTACATAGTTGTGCTGCCATTTCCATGAAATGGAAATGGCATGGAAATTGATTTACTCAATGGAACTAGAAAGGAAAGAGAGTTCATTTGAAATTTGCTGGAGTGTGAATCTGCACTGAACATGTTTTGTTCCTGCAAGTTTTCAGTGTGTCTGATGGTGATCCCAGAGCTGAGAGCAACTCTGCAACTTTATCAAGGGCCGAGCAAGATCTTGAAGAGCTTCTGCAGAAGTGGAGCAGGGAGACTTCCCGTTGCACAGTCCTGGTGCTCTTGCTGCCAGACCCCTGGAGCTCCTGAAAAGAAAAATATAATATTTCTAGGATGGGAAGAGCTGCAAATTTAATTCCAGCTATCAAGTTACTCCATTTGCTCAAATGGCAGGGCTATGTGGATCTGCAGCAGGTAGGCATAATCCTCCTCATGATTCATAGAAGTGCTAAAATGGTTTTGGTAAGGGAATCTGAAGGAGTTTTGTGTTTCTGTAGAGTGACACAGGCAATGACACATAAAATATCTGCATGAAGAGAGAGCTTCTAGATGCTTGTTGTCTTCTGAATAACCAGGTGCAATTTCACACTCTCCATCATCCATGGACGGATTCTCTGGATAAATGTACCAGCCTGCACAGACTATCTCAGGGCTCATTAGCAGAGAGGCAGCGCTGCCTGAACGTTGTCAAACCATTTCTAAATCTGGTTTGCATGTCTCGGCATCTGGTGTTTCCTGTTCCAGTCCTGGAGCGTGGAGCAAGTTGCATGGCTGAACAGCAGCCTGACGAGACCTTGGGTGGCTCCATGCTGAGAAATTTGGTCGCCTCTGCTTAGTAACCTTCAGCATTTCTATAGTTAGGTCTCATTAGCTCAGCTCTGTGTTTGTGAACATGGCTGAACGCTACTGGACAGTCCTTTTGTGGTGTGTGTGGTCTCAGCCAGCAGATGTGGGTGCAGGGGGAGGACAGTTCACACATCCTCGAGCCAGGCCTCTGGAAGACGGTGGTAGCCTGAGCACCAGAGTCACCATGGTGCTTCTCTTTGGTTTAACAATCATTTCTCTGTGTTCTCACCACAGCTTCCCTTTCCTCAGCAAATACTGCAGATCACTTCCCTGTCCTTCATTAAATTAAATCATTAAACATCGATTTCCAATATTAATCTCTTCCTCAGTCGTAGCCTCATCTACTGAGTGCCCATACCCATCATGTGAGGATTTGGACCTTTTGCAGGACGGTGGCAGCGCGAGTGGCAGTGAAGGTGGCACTGCGGGTGGCAGTGAAGGTGGCACGGCGGGTGGCACTGCGGGTGGCAGTGAAGGTGGCACGGCGGGTGGCACTGCGGGTGGCAGTGAAGGTAGCACGGCTGGTGGCACTGCAGGTGGCAGTGAAGGTGGCACTGCGGGTGGCAGTGAAGGTGGCACGGCTGGTGGCACTGGGGGTGGCAGTGAAGGTGGCACGGCGGGTGGCACTGTGGGTGGCACTGCGGGTGGCAGTGAAGGTGGCACTGCGGGTGGCACTGCGGGTGGCAGTGAAGGTGGCACAGTGGGTGGCACTGCGGGTGGCAGTGAAGGTGGCACGGTGGGTGGCACTGCGGGTGGCAGCGCAGAGCTGGCCACCCTCTGCCACGGAGCCCTCGCGTCCCCGCGCGTGGCAGCGGCCCCGGTGCGTTTGGAAACAATCCTCGGGATCGCTTCCACCGGCAGGACACGCTCCTGTCCCAACACTTGAAAGTCTGTAAGCTGCCTCAGCATTTATACAGTGCATTGCAGAATTTAATACCGAGATGTTCACGAGAACCCAAGTGTCGGGTCTGTTTGAGGGGTTTTTCGCGCCGTTTGTGTCTGTTCTACAGTCCCGGGGCCCTTCCCGGCCGGGGCTCCACCCGAGGGGGCACGGACCGCCCCGGGGCCGCGGCGGCACAGCCCAGGCGGATCGCTGGGCCCCGCAGCCCCGCGCAGCCCGGCCGGGCCCTGCCCGCCACCACCGGCTCCGGCCCCGCCGGGGCGGGAAGGTGCGGCCGCCCCGCCCCGCCCGCCAGACGCCACATCCTGCAGGTGCCGTGGGGCGGCCATCGCGGAGGGGCCGCCGCCGGTGAGTGCGGCGGACACCGCGCCGGGCCCCGTCCCGTCCCGACCCGGGGAGCGGTGGCTCCGACCCGGGGCGGCGCTGCGGGGTGGCCGCCGGGAGGCGGGTCCCGGTGAGGGGGCGGCGGGGGCGCGGCCCGGGCGTGGCGGGGATGTGGCGCCGGGGCCGCTCCCGCCGAGCCCCGGGCCCTGGGCCGACCGCTCCGCCGGGCCCGCGGGCGCCGCTTCCCAGGGCGGGGCTGGGAACGGGACGTTGGGTGCGGCGGTGGCTCCGGGGCCCGGCGGGAGCGGGGGCTGTGCCGAGCCGCGGCCACGCGTGTGTGTGTGGGGCCGGGCAGGGTTGCGGGAGCACCGGCCCGGCCCGAGCTGCCTCTCCCTGCGGGCCGGCGGGGAGGCCCGGCGGTCAGGCCCGGCGGTCGCCCTCGGGTTGTTTCTGCTGTTCACTGCTCTGCTCCGTCTTTGCACGTACAGGCTCGAAGAAGAAGGGATTTAGTAAAATCGCGGTCAACCTAAATGGGGCAACACCTAAAGCACCTGTGAGGAGTCTGTGTGTGTGCCTTACTGCCGTGTGCTGGAGCCAGCAGAGGAAGATGTGTGTTTTTATCCTTGTGAAAAGCCGGGCTGTCTAACTGCTGAACAAAGCCATGTACTGAAATTGGAGATCCTGACAAAATGGGAGCACTTGTGTTCTCTGCGACTTGCAGTTTACTTCTAGCCCTCGTGCGAGGGCACAGTTTATTTACATGTGAGCCAGTGACTATCTCCAGATGTTCAGGAATGCCTTACAATATGACTTTTTTCCCAAACATCATGGGACACTATGATCAGGACACAGCTGCTCGCAAAATGGAGGTAAGTTCTCTCCCTCCTACTGTAGTATGTAACAATTTTTTGTCTCATTAAGAAGTTATTTGGGATACCTGTTATGCTTAGTGACAAAGCAGATAATGTTTAGTTAGTAACGTTTCTTTAAGTGTTTCAGTGTGTGCTGGAGCTCCTTGGTTGTATAAGCTCTGTGTAAGGGAGCTACAGACTTCCTTCCCTCACCCCGCCTTGGATCCTGTATTAAGAGTGGAAGAGGAATGGGTGTAGCATAGCAATGTGGCTATTCAGAGCATTTTGGCACAGCTGATCACATAAGCCCAGGCACCTGACTGTTAAACAGAGCAATTGTTGAAATTCTCTGGGGAAATAGCTAATGATATCCTGGTCTGCCTGAACTCAGTGCAAAAATCGTATTCGAAAGTTGCTCATTGCACCTCTCAGCTTATATCTACTAAGGAGAGGCACCTAAACTTATTCTTAGTCCTATTGGCCATTGCAGGTTTTGCATTCTGTTGTCTTCTGATTGGATGCTGAAGCTTCTGACTGAAAGAGCAACTTTACTCTTTTTTTTTTTCCTCTGACTCAAAATAAGCACTTTTCTTACCTGAACTGTAAGTGTGGCTCCCTTGAGAATATGCTACCTTGTGGAAAGGCTTTGCCGATAGCAATACCTGTAAAGGGCAAGAGCCTCTCTGGGTGAGAGGCTTGTAAAACAAGTTTTAAACCTGTTTTAATAATGGCTTTTTCAGTGGTAAGAGAAGGGGGAAAATCTTAACACACATCTTGAAAAGCTCAGTGTCTTCTGCTGTGTAGAAAGTGAAACACAAGTGAGTTGAAAATTAGGTTTCTGTTTTTTAAAAAAAAAATTATAGGTGGTATTGGAGGTGATTACAGTTACTAAAATCTTATTTGCATACTCTTTACTGAACTTGGAGGAGGAGCTTGGTTCAGTTGCCAAAATATGTTTTCAGTGTTGCTTGGGATAATCAGGATTCCCTGTTTGGCCTCCAGCTGCCAGCCTGGAATGGCACAGGCTTTGGTCTTACATTGGTTTTGTCAGCCTGGTGTAAATGTGTGGGAAATTCTGGTATCGAGTGTTAAGCCATCTGAATTTAGCTACAGATCTCTGACAAACTGTGGGCTTTTAAATTGGTAGTCAGGCTTCAGTTGTGAACTGTGCAGTGCCTTCTCTAGTTGTCATTTGTCAGGAATGCTTCCTGCAGTGTCTGCCACTTTATCTCCTCAGGTATGCTGCTGCTTTTTACTTGGTGTGTCTTAACTGCAACCATTGAGCCAGCATTTGTCAGTATTTGTGCCTTCCAGTCATGCTGTTGTTGGGACAGAGAGACCACAGAGCCATTTTTATTAGGTTGCTGTGACTGACTTTTCTGAACTGTCAGTAACTCGTGCCTACTGCATGTGTGGAGCGAGCTCCTTCTGGAAAGGGTTCATGGCTCACCTGTCCTTATATAGCTACTTAATAAAAAATTGTGAGGTAGTGAGAAGTTTTGTTGTTTTTCCTCTTTTTCCGTCTTGTCACCCTTATAACCACTACTGCAGTGGTCAGTCACTGCTTAGCCAACTGACTGGGTGGCTATGGGGAACAACGGTGTCCATTAGCACTTGATTTCCCTACCCTGTTTCATTTGCTTCCTGTCATTGCTACTACCTGGCCTCTAATTTGATATTCCTCACTACTGTAGTGTAGCGTTCTGCCTAATGTGTAGTGGTCTGCCTGCCTTTATTTGTGATCCAGCAGTGCTGATGGACTACCTAGTCAAAGTGAATTTTTAAGACAGCTGCTATCCTGGTGAAAGGGTCAGGAAGTTTCCTCCCATTCTGTTTGTAGCTCGTGTTGAGTCTGTTGCTAGCAGTTAGATTTGGAATGAAGGTGGTGAGCTTATGGTGGTTCATTGCTGGGCCTTTTTTCTGAGAGACCAGTGTGTACCAATGTCACTTACACATTTTGGTGTGATTCTATGCTGTGTCACTAACAGCACCAGCACAGTTTGTCCCTAGTTGATTGCAACAGAGGACCTTCTCAGGATTGTCACCGTGTTCTGCTTTTCTGGGGACTTGGTGTTGCAGCAGGGGGAGAGGAGTTACTGACTTCGGGAATAGTGTTTAATTTCACTTTGCAGCCATAAGGAGGCAGTGGGTTGGGAGGTGGAGGAGACTTCTGTTGTTTCAAGAGCTTGAATTTTTCTATAATTGGCAGTTCAAACTTCATTCATACCAAAGAAAGAATTTTAATAGTACATTGGCTAAAACTTTCTTTTGATCCTCAGTAGGAATGCTTAAAGGCTTTGGTTTTTAGTTCTATCTTGCTCTTCCCCCTCTCCTCCCCTCCCCATGGCCTGTTCTCAAGACTGGGCATTAGACTTATATCTTAGGATGTAAGGTCTCACTGGGTTTTGAGGCTGATGCTTGCAGTATTTTGCTCACCGTATCTTAACTAACTCTGAGTAAGCTGCTTAATCATGCAATCTCAAGGAAAAGGGGAAAAGACTTCTTCAAGAAATCAAAACTATTTTGTGCAGAAAGAGCTGTGATGTTAGGCCAGTTTATGTTCCTATTCCCTTTGAAAACTTCTGGGGAGTGCTTACTCCCAAAAAGGATAAAGATTTGTCAAGGGGACAAGTGTCACCTCAAGGTGAAGTTCACTCTCCAGAACCATGGTAATTCGTGATGTCCCATTCTCAAGGCTCTACAGGTGTGTTCTGCTTCAGAGAGTGTTAGAGAGCACAGCCAGGAGAGCTGTGCTTTCCATCTGCTGGTGCGCAAAGTCTTCTGTACAGTTTCTCTGCTTTCTGGGAAGGTGTTAAATTGGTATTTCTGGATGGTGTCTTCATAGTAATCTTCCAGGAGAGGATGATGTGGAGCTACTGTCTCAGGTGGTGGTTGCCCTCCAGGAAATCAGCTGATACATGGTCTTTCAAATCTGCCTCATGTATCAGCTGTTTGTAATGATGTGCTATAAACCAGAACGCTGGACCACTGAGAGCAGGAAAATTACTAACTCAGTGTTAGGGCCTCTGTTGTGGATGTTTTGGCTAGTGATGATAGTCCCTCTGGGATCTTATTTTCCGTAATAAAAAAGATGTAATTTCCAGTTGCTCCCTCCATTCACATATTTATTTATTTAGTTTAATTCTGAGCTTTCAATTTGGCAGGCTGAGTTTTAGCTTCTTGAGTTCTACTTTATATTTGGATTAGTTCTGTTTGCACAACAAGTGGTGATTTTAGTAGAGTAAAACCACATGACTTTGTGGTGTGAAGTTTTGTGTATGTTAGCTAAACAGCTGCATCACAGTGGAATTGTTTGCAGATGTCTACCATATCTGTATCTCAAAGCAGTTTAACAGTAACACTGCTCATGTTACTACTAGTTCAGATTGGGAGGCAGAAGATCTAGGGTTTGTCCGATGAGGCAAATAGATGGACACAGCAGAAGACCTGGTTCATTACAGCTGCACTTAAATAGGTGTTAACTCCCCCTCGTGGTCATCCACAAAACCAAGTCACCTCTAATTCCAGAGTAATTCCTACTTTAACTATCCTGGTTGTCAACATAAGGAATTATTCCAGCAAGGCAAAGAATATTACTGTGTCGTAACTTATGTTCATATCTCTTAATCTGTTCTACTGCAGTTCTGGAATGTGTCCACAGGAGACAAACCCTTAAGATTTCCTGACGTGGGTAAGATCCACAGGTCTATAGAAGTACAAAGGGAAAAGGCTTGCCAGTCACTTTTTAAAGCAGACTATGGAAAACACTGGAAAATATCCCACAGAGAACAACAAAATACCTCAGAGAGACTGGAAAAATGATTCAGGAGTGAGTTTTCCATTCACTTCTGAGTTCATGGTCATGTGCCAGAATATGTGTGTGTCTATGGAGAATTAAGTGCAACCGGCTGCAGCAGTGGCAGAAATTTGTGTGAGAACTGGGATCAGTTTAAACAAAACCATTTAGAGGGGTTTAAGAAGTACCTTCAAAAGCTTAATATTGAAATGGCATGAGTTAAAATTTGTAATGTAATGGCTTAATTTGCTTCCACTAAATACAAATTTACAGTTAATTCAATAAAACAATACTTAAAAAAACCTGAAAAACCATTGTCTGCAAGCTTAAATTGGTACATGTGTGTGTCTGTGTGTGTTTATATATATACACAGGAAGGAGGAACCTGTCTACCTCTGTAGGTTGGGAATTTTGGGGAAATAAGTACTGTTTTGTAAAAAGCTTATTATTGGGATATCCTGCAAGGTAGCACAGGTGTGAATTTACTAAATTGTTTTCATTTTTTGTGCTCTCTTGCTCTCAGGTGTTCCCAAGAAACATCCACCATCTTTAGTTCTTACAGTGGTTCTTGCAGCAACGCATTCATAAGCAGTTTTTGCTGATTCCTATGGGTGCAGTAAATTACAGTCATTAAAAAAGTGTTTGTTACCTTCAGTACTGAGGCCCATTATCAAGCATGATTAGCTTGCGCAGATTGTCTGAAACCAGAGAGGTGAATGTGTGTAATCCTATTACACTGGCTTTAAGCGTATCAGTCATTCACAAAGTCTGCTACTGCTTTCTCTGAACAGCATTCCTTGTTGCTGGATAATGTGACTAGCACTGCCTTGCTCTTTGTTCTGAAAGGATGTTGTTTAGAATGCACGGGGGTCCAAAGTGACGCGTGTTTGATGAAGAGATGGTAACTGGGGTTCATGGAGATGGTGTTGACAGAGTGATTCCAAGAGCCTCCTCATTATCCATTTTAAGAGGCTATGTCTACACTGGCAAGTAATTTGTGTTACAGGTGTTACAGGAGTGAATCTCTACTTGAAGTTGTTCTCAACACAAGACCTCTGGGAAATACCGTGATATCCTGTTGTTGATCTCCTGCGCATGTCTGTCCCTTTCAGGTGCCCTGGCTTGTGCTCACGTGTAGCTGCTGTGGTGGTTTTTTAGTCTCCCTGTCCAGACTGCATCTTGGATTCCCCCTGATCCATACTCTTATGTGAGATGTGGTCAC